CCGTTTTTGAAATATTTACATTTTTTCGAATTTAAAAAAAATCGTGCCTTTTCATCGTGCCTTTTCATGTGTTTTCTTTAACTGCAACTATAAACCGGGCAATATTTAGTAAAATACTTCCAGATAGTTGCCTCTCCATACTCAAATGCAATGTAGTTAAAATATATTAAGGAACCATCATAAAATTAGGACTATTTCTGGATTTTTAACTTTTTGATATTTTCTTCCCCAACTTTGACTATCTCGGGTGAAAAAAAAATGTACTGAGCTATAACTTTACATTACATAAAAAAATTGCTCATTTAATAAAGATTTCAGAAAGGTGCCACACTTACTGTTTTGAATAGGAAAAAAAAAGTTATAGCCGCTTTTGTGGGTAAAGGACTGAGACACGCTAGAATGTATTTAATAGATTTAAATTGAATTTGCTCTTGTTACCGTCAAATGACATGCTAAATAGTACAAAGGTACATTATTACCTGCTCCTGACATTATTTTGTGTTACTTACCGGAATTCGGACTAGAGTCTATAACAAGGGCTATATCTATCAATATTTTTTGTGAAGCATGGATTCACGTGAAATAAAATATACATGTGAAGGATGGGTTCACGTGAAATAAGATATACATGAGTTGTTTGAAAATTGGTGACCTTCTGCTCTAATACAAGCTCGGCACCTTTTAAGAAAAGACGCTTTTAGAGATCTTAAACTCAATTGGGCTATCTCAGCAGCAGCTCCATTTATTTGTTCCCGCAAATGCTCTTCGTTTTGAATTGTTTTTGAATAAATTTTGTCCTTAAGACAGCCCCAGTAGAAAAAATCTAATGGATTCAGGTCTGGCGATCTAGCGGGCCACGTGATTGGCCCGTATCGTCCAATCCATCGGCGAGGATAAGTTTCGTCTAAATGAGCTCTTACTTCACGCCCGTAGTGAGCAGGGCACCCGTCATTTTGCAGCCATAGTCTTCGCCGCAGGTTTAAGGGTACATCTTCCAAAAGAGTTGGAAGCCGTTCCTGAAGGAACTCTAAGTAACTGTGAGAGTTGAGCGTTGGCGGCAGTTCCACAGGTCCCAAACACTGACAATTAAAAATACCGCACCATAAATTTATTTTGTACCGGTACTGCGAACGATCTTCTCTCATTTCGTGAGGATTGTCTATCTGCCAACTGTGAAGGTTATGTAAATTAAAATAACCATCACGTTTGCATGATGATTCATCGCTCCAAATTATTTTATTAAAAAAGTTGGGGTCTGATGCATGCATTCGCAACATTTCACGGCAAAATCTAACCCTAGACAGGTAATCTCTTTTTTTATGGAGCCTGAACACGTTGAATGTGGAAGGGATGAAATCGATGGTATTTTAAAGCTTTGTGAATTGTAGTTTTTGGTGTTCTCGTCCGTCTTTCCATCATTCTCACTGAAGTCGATGGACCTAGTTCCACTTCCTCTAACACAGCTTCAACATCTACCGTTGCAGGACGTCCTGTTTCGCCGCCACGCCTTCCAGGTATGCGACCTTAAAAAAGTGAAAAATTATAGTTAACAAGCAAGCAAACAAGAAAGGTGTAAAAATCACTTACCTTCATATATTTCTCTATGGGTCCGGGCGAATACTTCTCGACCCGGATGTCGACGATTGGGGTATCGCTCTGCATAGAGTCTTTGAGCAGCTCTGGCATTACAGCAAGCTTCACCGTAAATTAGGTGAATATCCGCATATTCATGCGACGTATACTGCGTGTTCTCTGTCATAGTATTAATAACACAATGTTCGAAGGGTCCAATTTCACAAAATCCACTTTCACTAATTCCGGTAAGTAACATAAAATAATGTCAGGAGCAGGTAATAATGTACCTTTGTACTATTTAGCATGTCATTTGACGGTAACAAGAGCAAATTCAATTTAAATCTATTAAATACATTCTAGCGTGTCTCAGTCCTTTACCCACAAAAGCGGCTATAACTTTTTTTTTTTCTATTCAAAACAGTAAGTGTGGCACCTTTCTGAAATCTTTATTAAATGAGCAATTTTTTTATGTAATGTAAAGTTATAGCTCAGTACATTTTTTTTTCACCCGAGATAGTCAAAGTTGGGGAAGAAAATATCAAAAAGTTAAAAATCCAGAAATAGTCCTAATTTTATGATGGTTCCTTAATATATTTTAACTACATTGCATTTGAGTATGGAGAGGCAACTATCTGGAATTATTTTACATAACATATTTACTAAGTATTGCCCGGTTTATAGTTGCAGTTCAAGAAAACACATGAAAAGGCACGATTTTTTCTAAATTCGAAAAAATGTAAATATTTCAAAAACGCTGACACTTTTACCTGAAAATTTTTTGCTTATCAGGGAGCTCACCCCCCCACCTACCTTCACCTAAAGTTTGGCACGTACTTCTGGGACACCCTGTATATATATATATATCATGATCCACTGATCGGATCTGAACCAGATTAGGATGGGACCACCTCTGAGACACTACCTTTCCGATGCAAAATTATCGAAATCGGTTGACGTGGTCCAAAGTTATGCGGTAACATACATAAAAAAAAATCCGACGAAAACCTCCTCCTTTTTTGGAAGTCGGTTAAAAAGCAAGCTTACTTCGTTAATATACTGATCGCAATAGCAAATGCATTGAAAATAGCAATTCAAACAAGCAATTTCAAACCCTGCGTATAATCTTTTATCCTCTAACCAACAAACAATGAATTAATTTAAAATTACTCACAAAATTTTTATAATTTATTTTATTAATATAATGATCTGTCCACAAGTGAAGTATCTTATCTGAAAATACGTACAATTCTCTTTTTCAGTCTGACGACAATTTTATTAACTCAGCAGGACCTACGCCTTTGGAGGAGGAAGAAGTGTGGGAATAAATTGACAGTTCAAAACAAGAAGCGCAGAATGCCATTACTGAATAAACCTCCAAATAATCTTGCATTTGTACATACACGCATTTAAATATGTACTTTTTACCTTGAATTCAATTAATTTCTCATTCACTGCTGCTAATTCTAGTAGACTTTAAAATCTCATTTTTAACATATGAATTTAATTTGTTCTATTCTACAAAAATTAAAAGACAAAATAAATGAATTTGATACCAAAACTTAAAGAATCATAATTGTTTTTAATATAAAACACTTGACATGCACACGGCTCCGCCCAATGTAATCGTTGAGTGGATTAGTATAAATCTTTGCGACAAACTTTAATGGCCCTATTATTTATGTTTGGCGACTGATAGCCGATTTGCCACGATATACTAAAATTCGCATTACGTATACGGTCTACTTATTGAATTTAGCAAAAAATATATAATAATCGCGCAATATTTTTAATAAATTAACATGTACCGTTCCGACAAGTTAATTAGTTGAAAGTGACAAATGAAAATTAAACAGGAGAACGATTTGTTGTTGGTCGCTTTCAAGCATCATTCTTTCCACACAAGAGTTGTGGCCGTGGTACAGAACACTCATTCGGTCCTATTCTGAATGTCGTCCAGGGATATAACTGTTATAAGTTTTATCGGAAAAACGTTGCTCTATAAAAGTTATTAGATGAGAAATATTTTTTATCGCCAATAAGAGTTACATATACCCAACGTTTACTTTTTACGTTGACTGATAACTGTTATGCAGGAGAAATATGTTTTCCGTCGCCAATAAGGGCCAGTTTTTCAGTGCTGTTTTAAACTCAGTTTAAACGAAGTATAGTTAAACTTAGTTTAATCCTGGAAACATAACCTTCGTCGATTCAACGAGTATGCCACAAACAGTTAGCCGTCTCTTACCGGTGAACGCGGTAGAAAAGTAGTTACAAAATAAAAATAGTTTGTAATTAAATTGAAACCAATTATTTTTTGTCATAGAATAATAGCGGATACACATACACTGGTGGTCCGATAATTAGAAACGATTTTCTTTTTCAAGTATTTATTTATTCGTCTATGAAACGGTGGTTTCTTACAGACTAGTTACAAAATTAATATATGCAGGACACTAAAACTATTGATTAAACTAGATACAAGAATCAAAAGAAAGAATACAAAAGATTAATAAATAAATTTCTTGATTAAGAGAAATCAAGTGAGATAGAATTCGAGATCAAATTAAACTCATTTAAGGTACGTACCAAGCGGGCATTGCGCGCGTATTCAGTTCTATGGATTTCACAATAGAACGGCAAAAAGTTACGCAAGACTCGCTGAGGGATGTTGAAATTTATGCGACCTAAGAGAAAAGGACAATCAACACTACCATTAATAATATTAAAAACAAAAGTCAGGGAGAGTACAGAACGCCTCGTTTCCAATGACTTAAGGTTAAGCAAAAGCAAACGACTACTGTACGGTGGTATAGCATCCGAAAAGTTAAAGGACCGCAATGCGCACTTAAGAAACACCTTTTGGACACGTTCTAATCTATTCATGAAAGTTTTGTGGAATGGCCTCCAAATAAATGTAGCATATTCCAAAATGGGACAAACAAAAGATGAGTATAGTAATTTAATAGTACAGGGATCAGAGAATTTTACACAGTTCCGCCTCACGAAACCCAAAACAGAGAAAGATTTAGAAATCACAAGATTAATATGCCTACTAAAAGAAAAATTTGAAGTAAAAATGACGCCAAGATCTTTGGCCTCGGCGACAGATTCTAGCGAAGACTCCGCGATTGTATAACTCGTTGATAAAGCACTATGAATTTTTGCAAAAGTTACTTTAAAGCACTTTTTAATATTTAAAGAAAGGCGTGATTTTATGCACCAAAGATTAAGATCATTAATATCGGCCTGGAGCAAAGTAGCATCCCTTTCGTTTCTTATCATCAAAAATACTTTCAGGTCATCGGCATACAGCAAAAAATTAGCGAAAGAAAAACATGAGCTAATGTCATTTATGAATAATATAAAAAGTAAAGGACCTAAAATACTTCCCTGAGGTACCCCAGAGGAGGCAATGAATGCATCTGACGAAATGACATCTATCGAGACAACACAGCGCCTGTTGATCAAGTGGGATTTAATCCACTTTAAAAAAAAGAAATGGAAGCCAAGATATGATAACTTACTAAGTAAAATCGCATGAGAGACTCTATCAAAGGCTTTACTAAAGTCCGTATAAATACAGTCAACCTGGAAACCAGCAGAAAAAGACGTCATACAGTATTCACAAAATACAGCTAGGTTAGACACAGTAGATCGATTGGAAACAAAACCATGTTGGTTAGGCAGGATTAAACTTTTAGTGATAAAATAAATTTTTTCTTTGACTGTAGATTCAAAAAGCTTCGATACAGTTGATAGTTTAGAAATGGGCCTGTAATTGCGAACATTATTTTTATTCCCACTCTTAAATATAGGGTTAATAGAAGTAATTTCCCAATCCTCGATAAAGACACCCGCCGCAAGAGACAAATTAAAAATACGATGTAGAGGTAGAATTAGAGCGGGACATTTCTTGAAGAAAAGGGCAGAAACCCCATCAACATCCGCTTTCGTAGACGGTTTTAGCTTAGAAATGCCAGCTTCCACGTCATCAAGTGACAGAGTTAGAGTCCCAAAGCTGAACTCAGTAGCTGAACCGTGGTTTATATCAGGCCAGGAATTACCATCATCACAGACTTAGTTGGCACTAAAAAATTCAGCGAAGAGACTCGCCNGGCCTGTAATTGCGAACATTATTTTTATTCCCACTCTTAAGTATAGGGTTAATAGAAGTAATTTTCCAATCCTCGATAAAGACACCCGACGCAAGAGACAAATTAAAAATACGATGTAGAGGTAGAATTAGAGCGGGACAGTTCTTGAGGAGAAGAGCAGAAAACCCATCAACATCCGCTTTCGTAGACGGTTTCAGCTTAGAAATGCCAGCTTCCACGTCATCAAGGGACAGAGTTAGAGTCCCAAAACTTAACTCCGTAGCTGAATCGTGGTTTATATCAGGCCAGGAATTACCATCATCACAGACATAGTTGGCACTAAAAAATTCAGCGAAGAGACTCGCCACCTCAGTAGGGCCACTAGCACATTTATCGTCCAAAAAGACAGTCGAAGGAATGCAAGAGCCACATTTCTTAGGCTTTGTGAAAAGCCAAAAAGCTTTTGGATTAGATTTAATGCTCAACTCCACCCCAAAAATATAGTTTTTATGAAGACATTTGTCTAAGCAATTAAAATCTTTAGCATATTTCTGATCAGCCCTATTCTGCATTTCGACTCGAATCGAAATTTTCTCCGTTTGGCAACTTTGGTATTCTGCGTTCCGTTTCCTTTCGATCAATCTTCGAAATTTACGATTATACCTATTCTACATTTCGATCGTAGTTCCGTTTTTCTAAGTTGCAAATTTGTTGGCGGAGAACGTTTCAATTGTTATTTTCGTGGGTTTAAATAATAAAATTTAAAAAAAAAATTAAGTAAAATATACTGTGCATGATTGTAAAAGTCATCATAAATGAATTTTCTCGATTTCTGTGTTTTCGCGAGCGGTAATACGGGCAATACGAAAAATTTGCTCAAATAATGGCAACCAAAAGGGATGTTGCGCGACGTTTTCAAAGTGGAAGTCCAGGCGTTTTTGTTTACATTATATATAAATAAGACTGTGAAATGCACTGAATGCAATCGATTCTTTTTATATAAAATTAATAGATGTATGCACATAGATACATACATACATAAAATGTGAAGTTACATAAAAAAGATGCTTTTATTATTGCACTCGTTTTTACTAACTTTTTAAAAAGAGGTGCTTATGTTGTCTCGAATTCGATTTGCTATAGAAAGATAAGCTTTGTTCTTCCCTTCCTCCTGACGGCTTTCAAAATGGGATTCGTTTGCGTTCAAATCTTCCACTCTGTAGTAAATGCAAATGTTGTGGAGTGCTCAAACAACGTTTATAATTTCACTGACTTTAAGCGATGAGTAATACAGTTCAAGATGAATTCCTTATGACTCTTCACTCATCTGAAAAAGATCAAACATGTCCCTAAATCTCCGCCTTTCAACTTACGCATCAGCAATCTGGGACTCATTCTTCTCTTCAAGCAATAACGCCGCGGCTATGGATTTCATTCTTATAATTATGTATCCACTTAATTTTTATTTCTAAATTACAGTGATTAAAAATATTTACAAACTTTAACTTCATATGCTGCTATTGTTTGGTGGCAAATATTTCTTTGTTTTGT